CTAACTCTAAACTATGAGAATCTCCATCTTGGAGCACATATGGCAAAAGATCAAATTGGGTGCAGGCTTGTCAGGAGGAAGCCCAACATCCCTTTTTGCATGCTGGCTGGCGAGTGTGCTGGGAAAACTTTTTACTGTTGTACTGTATTAGGCCCTTCCATGTGCACCTTGCTGTAAAGCTGGTAACAAATTGATGAGTGCGTTTGCCATTTGTTTTGCTTGACTGATTTGGTGCCGTGATGCATGGGGGGTCTCAGTTGCCTTGTGATGTGCGGGGTCCTTATGCGTACCTGTGCCTTTAAGGGAGGTTGGGCTTCCTCCTGACAAACCTGCACCCAATTTTATCTTTTGCCCCATGTGCTCCAAGATGGAGATTCTCATAGTTTAGAGTTAGTACAGCACTATCTAGAGGTGCCTTGGCGCGGCTGTGCGGCTTTCACATTTTCTGCAGAAGACTTGTATCTAAACTTCTGTTTTTAACCTTAGCAGTGAGACAAGTTTTTTTGCATGCTGGCTGGTGAGTGTGCTGGGAAACTTTTTGCTGTTCCTTTTTAACATATGACACCACAAAGCTTCTAATTCACTCCTTGTAATATCTCACCTCGACTACTGTAACTCCCTCCTCATTGGCCTACCAGAAATAAGTTACCACCCCTTAAGTCTATCTTAAGCGCTGCTGCCAGAATCATCCACCTGACCAACCAATCAGTATTTTTTTCCTTCTTCCACTAAGTCTTTCTACACTCTATCTACACAGTTATTACCTTTTATATCACTTGCCCCTCCTACTAGAGTGTAAGCTCTTATGAGCAGGGCCCTCCTGTAGTGAAATGATATTGTAACTGTATAGCCCTGAGAAAACTGTTGACGCTTTATAAATCCTGTATAAAAATAATTCCATAAATAAACATTTCCATGCAGAAGTCTGACATGCCGAACCTAAGAGTCCCACACGATGTAGACTTTGCATCTAAAATCGTTATTTTCATATAAAGGAAATTTTCTGCAGAAAGGAATGTAAAATATCATCATCTGGAAAGCTCGGAGCTAGAAATAGAAGGGACACGTGTCTAGATAAATCAATATTGCACTTCCACACCTGCTCTTAATGTTTTACAAAGATAGAGCTAAATTCAGCAGATTACATGGCTGGGCAAACATACAAGCAGCTGTCCTGCACGGAATATGCTGGAAAGGAAGAACTTTCCATAGGAAGCCTCAGGGGCAGCACTTCCACATAGCTATCTGGAGCTGCTGCTCCCCCACTATATTTAGGTCAAGTTAGTTTAAGGAAAAACTGCATGTAGGTTGACGTTGCCAGGTGTTATATACACTCCTGTCATACTGTACACAAACTTAAGATTTACTTTTTGACAATCCTGTCATACTGTACACAAACTTAAGATTTACTTTTTGACAATCCTGTCATACTGTACACAAACTTAAGATTTACTTTTTGACAATCCTGTCATACTGTACACAAACTTAAGATTTACTTTTTGACAAGAGCTATAAATGGAGAAACTATAATTCTCATCAGCCACAACATAGGGACTTGTAGTTTCCTATGGAATAGAGGTGTAGTGACATCATTCATACATTCATTCTTCCTCCTGTCCAGGTTACTAAATCCCAGCAATAATACATTATACAGCAGCGCAATGCACGCAGAATACCACCAGCTATAGAGGACTACAAAACCTAGCAACAGTACATTATAGTATAATGTATGTGCTGTGATTTGTTGTATTCCTCTATAGCTGGTGGTATTCTGCATTGCGCTGTATAATTATACAGTGCAATAATTTACCACCAGCTATAGAGGAATACAGATGTTCCTCACTTACCGACTTCCCTGTTTTGCGACCACTCGCACGTACGACGGACCGCCGATCGACCTTGCGCGTCAGCGTCAGTGCGACGTGTCGCCGGCGGAAGTGACATCCTCCGATCTTCACTGCAGGTCCCGGTAAGTATTTCCATTGCCCGATGTACAGTACACTGTTCGTTACTGTACATCGGCAACGCTATACAGTACTGTACTAATGCAGTACAGTACTGTATAGAGTTCCTCACTTAACGACCAATACGTTTAACGACCTGGTCGTAGGAACGGAACTCGGTCGTTAAGTGAGGAATACCTGTACAACAAATCACAGCAAATGCATTATACAGCGCAATACAGAATACCGCCAGCTATAATGTACTATTGCTGGGATTTGTTGTATTCCTCTATTGCTGGGATTTGTAGTCCTCTATAGCCGGTGCCATTCTGCATTCATTGCTGCATAATTTTACACTTTCCATTTCACTATATTGCACACCACACTTTTTTATTTTTACTTCCACCGCTCCGAGCTTGCTCCCGTGATGGACTAACGAGTAAATAGATACCCAACATGCCCAGGTTAAAAATTGTGTGCATCCGTGAAGCTGCGACAAAATTCAGTACCCCAAAAAGCCCATCGATGAAGCTTTATTGGCCCCTGAATTATTGTTCTCACTCCGGCGTTCGTGGCGATAGCCAACATGTGTATCGTGATCGTCATTTTCATATGTAGGCACACCCGACTCGTGTTTAAGTGACGACGCGCCTGCTCGATTGGGCGGGGGACTTTAACAATGTTTTCATTATAATTTTTACATTTAATATTTTTAAAACTTTTTTTTTTTACTTTAATTGCTATCACATAGGGGGGCTTATAAGCCCTCCATGTGATAGCATATTGTCAGTGACAGGTGCCCTTTAAGGTGATGCTGGGGGGTCCAAAAGACCCTTGGTATCACCTTTACACTCTAAATAAACTATTAAAATGCAGATCACACTTCAATAGCTTATTTCTGGGCTTCAGGAGCACAGCAATGACAGCTATGGGACTGGAAGTGATGCAATACGCGTCGCTCCCGGTACCATAGTACAGGGAGGAAATCAGTGAATGGACATTCGCTGTTCTCCTCCCCAGCTTCCCGACAAGCCAGTCCTGGGCTCATGGAGGGGCAGTGGAGCCCGGGAAACAAGGCAGGGGGTGTCAGGCGGGGGGGGGTGGCCTGGTTACCGGATCGTAGAAGCGATCTGGCAGCAGCTGAGCCGCCAGATCGCTTCAATTGTAAAGCCGGCTCTACAAAACTAAACAGACTCCCGGCGGCTAAAAGCCACCAGGAGTCTGTTTAACCCCTTCAAACTTCATGACGTGATAATACCGGCATGGGTCATGAAGGGGTTAAAAATTGACTTGTTTTATTATTTGAGCTAATGCATAGACATCTCAGGGAACAAATAAATATGGAACTCAGGATCTTTAAAGGCGCAAGCTCCATTGACAACTAGAGAAAACCTCACCCCAGCTGTAATGTTTAAGGCCATTGGCTACCTGGCACCAGGGATTTGTCCAGTGCTGAGCACGCCAATAGGCAAGAAAAGTAGGAGGTGCGCCAAAATTACATTTTTAAAAGCAAAACAAAACCGAAAAAAAAAACAAAATTAAAAATGTAAATATTTTTATTTATTTTTCATAAACTTTTTAATTTTTTTACATTTATTTTTAGTAAATAATTTTATTTTTTACTTTTTAGGGGCTTCCGGGAAATATTAGGGGTCTTAACAGACCCCTAATATTTACCTTTTAAAATAGAAAAAGATTGAGGACACAGAGCCCCCAGGGACACAGAGCCCCCAGGGACACAGAGCCCCCAGTCTCTTATTCTGTATCTCTTATCCCCTGTTATAAATGAACAGGAAGTCTCTATTCGGAGTGTTCCTGTTCATTCATAACTTGAGGACAGAGTATGTTACTATCACCACAGCTATGAATGAACAGGAGGTGATGTAGATCACTTCCTATTCCTTCATAATTGAGGATATAGTAACCATACTACGTCCTCAATTGTGTACAAACACTCAGCGATCACTGATCACTGACTGCTTGTACTCGCTCTCCTCTCTGACATGCTGTCACAGGAGGCTGAGTGGTGCGGGGTGGGGTGGTGCGGGGGGAGAGCCCGGGCACCTCGTGACACGCCGGCTGCTCACATCGCTCTCCTCCCCGCACTGCTCGGCCTCCCCTGACAGTTTCTCTCCTCCCCGATGGATGCTGAGCTGTGTCAGGGGGACACAGAGGAGTGCCCATCAGGGAGGAGAGAAACCAGCATGCACTGCAACTTTGTCGGAAAGATGGCACTTTCGGCAGCGTCTGTTCTCTGTTTTATCACACATTGCGGGACGTTCACAAAACCTTCCTATACTGCGGGGGAGATTGTCCTCCCTACAGTCCTCGGGATACTGACTCAGCATCTCTATATATACAATCCCTTGTGAGCCCCCCGTCCTTCTGTACTCCACATATGTCTCTACAAGTGTCACCAATCTCACAGCCGTCTCCCATTTGTATATACCGGGGACTGTGCTGGAGGAAACGTCCCCTCCCTGGTGACTGATACACCACACCCAGAAGAAGGACAGATGGAGAGGGACAGACACAGGGACCAGTCAGGAATTAAGAAACTAAGTGACCATCATTAGAAACATAGACAGCCGACTTCTAGCACACCAGAGGTGACAGTCCCCGACAGGACATAGACAGCAGATCCCTATGGCAGGAGAGGTGACAGTCCCCGACAGGACATAGACAGCAGATCCCTATGGCAGGAGAGGTGACAGTCCCTGACAGGACATAGACAGCAGACCCCTATGGCAGGAGAGGTGACAGTTCCTGACAGGACATAGACAGCAGAACCTCATGGCAGGACAGGAGACAGTCCCTGACAGGACATAGACAGCAGATCCTCATGGCAGGACAGGAGACAGTCCCTGACAGGACATAGACAGCAGATCCTCATGGCAGGACAGGAGACAGTCCCTGACAGGACATAGACAGCAAATTCCTATGACAGGAGAGGTGACAGTCCCTGACAGAACATAGACAGCAGATGACAGCACAGGAATTGAGTCCCGGGAATACTAGGAGTCCCATTGACCTCCCGCCCTTCTCCCGGATACTCACAAACTTGGAGAACTTTTTGTCCCCGTCCTCTCCCGGGTGTCCGGTCGGCTCAGGGTAGGTGGGGTAGGCAGGCCCTCCTCGCTGTTTGCGGCTCATCTTGCCTCGGTCCATTGCACGGAGAGGTATGGGAGCCCCGAGCGGCGGGATGAAGCTGTCACCTGTGGATTACGAGGAATCCGATTACCGATGTGAGGGGGGGGAGGGGCGCGGTGATCCACTTATGTGTGAGTACGATCTCATACACGACACACACTTCAAACCCACCGCCAGGCTCAATGTTCCCGCCAGTACAACCACGCCTGCTGCCTGCCACTTAGCCAATTGAAAAGTGCCGAAGGCTCTGCCATAGACAGCGGCCAACCACTCTCAGAATCTGCTAACCTATCAGTCAGGTGACACTTGAGCTTCGAGCGGCCATCTTTGTGCCTGGCAGAGACCTCTGGACTCTGCCTGCTGTTTGTCATTTGCCACTCCTGTCCTCCGTTTCTTCATTGCAGAATGATCCCTCGGAATCTCACTTCTCCACAGCTGCCCTTCTATTGGGTCTGTGTGTAGACCTGTATAACAAAATGATATAACTAGCAAAACTTAGTTGCCAACATTGAAGAATATTAAGGAGGGGCACCTTCAACGGTTTATGGAGAAAATTGCCAGCAGGACCTAATAAAGATGGTGCTGCCAATAAAGCAGACGTGGCTTGTTGGTGTATGGTATGGTATGTAGTGGTGAAGTTATTCTCTCACCTTTGGTATGTTTTAGGCTAGGAGTTGGCAACCTGAGCACTCCACTGTGGTGAAACTACAAAGCCCATCCTGCCTCTGTCTCTGGGAGTCATGTTTGTGGCTGACAGTCTTGCAACGCCTTATGGGAGTTGTAGTTATTATTATTATTATTACATAGTATTTATATAGTGCCAACAGTTTGCGCAGCGCTTTAGCTGGAGCGCTGAGGTCACCTAACTCTGTTATTGACATAAATAGGGACATGTGGGGTACTGAAGACAAAGTGGGCATTAATTCAAAACTTTAAATAATAATTAGGAAAGAATAATTCCTTCCATTGGTGTCTAGGGATGTACATGGGCTTGGTGTGAACCTAATTTCACCATGTCCACCTAAAACTGCAAAAGAAAAGAGTTTGCTCCTGTGATGGACTACAATCTCGTGTTTAGTAGTTTACTAATTTGTATGAAGATTATAGTCCATCACAGGAGTGAGCTTGGAGCGCTGACTACACACACAGGGACCATGGGGAAGAAAAGCAGCCACCTTCCAGAAGGAAGGACAGTGTCAGCACCAATTCAGAGATGATTTGAGGATCTACAGATGAGTGATACACAAATAAGATACATTTTTGTTACAGTGACATTAAAGGCGAAACATTTTTTCCCTCCCCCAATGTTAATGTCAGCACTTACCTTAAATGATGTCTCTTGCATATCTATGAGGCTAGGAAGCAGTAGATATATGCAAAAAGTTTTTTTTTTTTTAACCACCTCCCGTTCACCGAACGTTGAAAGACGGCCGGACGGGAGTCTCCTGGATGCGGGTGGGCGTCTTTAGACGTCCTTCTTGCCCGCGCCAGCGATGGCCGTTTACATACAAGCGGTCCGGCGTCTGTAAAGACGCCCGATCGCTTGTATGAAGCAAGTGAGGGTGCGCCCCCTCCTTACCTCTCGTCGCTATCCCGCCCCCGCGATCCCGGGTGTCCATCCATCCCGGCGGATGTGTGGCTCTGTGCTCACCTCCCGGTCTCTGAATGCAGGAAGTGATGTATATTACATCACTTCCGCATTCCCCTGTCACTCTCTGGTACAGAAACCGGAGAGAAGCTGATGAAGCAGATCTGTGCTTCATCAGCTTCTCTGGGGGTCCCTAGGTGACATTAGGGGTCTTAGAGACCCCTGATGTCTCCATAAAGGGGGCCTGTAACTGTAATTTGTCATTACATAGGGTACTTCTTAGCAGCCTATGTGATAACAATAAAGTTAAGTGTAAAAAAAAAAAAGTTAAAAAAAATTGCTCACAAAACAAACAAAGATGCGCAAAAACGATGATTGCTCCAATTATGCCGCACAAGCTACATATCGCCGCGAACGTCGCAGTGAGAGCAATCATTTTAGGGCCATTAATCACTGGTAACACTAAACTGATGAGCGGTAAAATCATTTAAAGCGTCGCCTACGGTCAATTTTGGCTATGGTGTTTTTTTGCGATTTCGTCGCGGGGGCGTACAATTTTAAAGCTTGACATGTTTGGTGTCTATTTACCCGACGTGACCCCCGTATTTTATATTTTACCAAAAAATTGGGTAAAAATAAATGTTTCCTAAAATATTAAAGGGAAAACCATTTTTTTTTAATATTCAGTACTTTTTTTGCTATATAGTAAAAAATTTAAACCGCAGTGGTGATTAAATACCACCAAAAGAAAGCTCTATTTCTCCCCATATATTCAGTACTTTTTTTGCTATATAGTAAAAAATTTAAACCGCAGTGGTGATTAAATACCACCAAAAGAAAGCTCTATTTGTCCCCAAATAATGGTATAAAATTCATTTCAGTACAGCGTTGCATGACGAAATAAGCGTCAGCCAAAGTACCGCAGCGCTGAATACTGAAAAATGGCCTGGACAGGAAGGGGGTGTAAACACCCCGGTCAGCAAGTGGTTAAAAACGCTTTAACAGCGCTTTAAACTTACCCCGTCTTTGCCGAGCGCTCCCGTCCGAGAATCCAAAACTGCTTGGGCGGCCGCAAAGCATCTTGGGGCGGGCGCATGCGCAGTTTGGCTTTTCGGCCGGGAGACGAGGGGAGACGCAAGGTAGGTCTATGGACGCGTGCACCCGCATGCAGACACCGTGGGATCGGAAGTGCCAGCAAGGACAGAGGAGTCAGCGCTGGATCGGAGACCCGCCGCAGCGCTGGAGAGAAGGCTGAAAAGGACAGGAAAGAAGAGGAAGATCGGATTAAGAGACATCATTTAAGGTAAGTGCTGACATTAACATTGGGGGAGGGGGGAAAAAATTGTCTTGAATGTCACTTTAAATGACGTCTCTTGATTCGATCATCTTCTTTCCTGTCCTTCTCAGCCTTCTCTCCAGCGCTGGTGCGGGTCTCCTATCCAGCGCTGACTTCTCTGTCCTCCTCTCCTCTGATATCCCACAGTGTCTGTGCGGGTGCACGCTGCTCACCGGCTGAACATCTGAAGTGCGCATGCATCCGCCCCAAGAAGGCACAGGTAAGTTTAAACCCTTTTTAAAAGTTGGGTTTTTATTTTTTTTTATGTTTTTGCATATATCTACTGCTTGCTAGCCATAGATATATGCAAACAAAAAAAACCCTGAGGGTTTAATAACCCTTTAAGGTATTTGAATGTATTTTTAAGGCTGAACTCCTGAGTTTAGTGTCACTTTAGCATACTAATCTGGGAAAGGGTGTTTTGATTTTTTAATTAAAGTGTGTATCTTAGTCCAGAATCACATCTATGGAAATGTTGAAACCCACTTTTACACCTGTTTGAATGCATTTTATGGTAGTACACATTAGTACGCAGTGCTGTCAGAATACAATATCCCAGCAGGGGAGATTTCCTTAAAAATGCTATTTAGCGTTGATGAGGAAATCATACATTTTTACTCATTCAGCCTGAAGGGCTAAACAAGGAAAAAATAGTAGCATATGGCCAGCTTTAGCAACAACCTAAACACTCACAGGGTTATTTACAAAAGGGCGAAGAGTTTGGAGAAGGCAGGAGAAGTGAACAACCTAGGACAACATAGCTGAACTGGAAAGTGAGCTGAATTAGAGAATGTTTCTGAATCAGCTATGTTGGCTTAGATTGTTCACTTCTCCTGCCTTCTCCAAACTCTTCACCCTTTTGTGAATAACCCTGTAAATTAGGATTACATTTGTTTTGATTTGCTTAAAGTGACTCCCACTAGAGGTCACCTGATTACAGAGCCGCGTCTGATGCGTGCGGGCGGGCTGAGATGGCAGATGGAGAGGGACAGAAAAAAAGAGTACAGGAGGGGGACCCGGGTGCAGATGGCAGAGGTATGGAGCAGCTGCGGCCACAACAGACCCCCACAACCAGGAAGCCCCCACGGACCGCCAGGCTAAGGTAAGGTGACATTTTTAACATATAAAAAACATTTTTTTTTTAAAAAATAAAACATCCCCATTATCCGATCCGCCGACAAGCGCAGTGTTCCTCCTCTCACGCTGCCAGAATATGCATACAAAGCATGTCGGTTACTATTTAAACCGGCGCGCTGTGTGCAGCTTCTGAGAAGATATGCTTTTAGCGCAGCCGGCTTCATCGCTACACAGCGCGTCGGTTTAAATAGTAACCAGCACACGCTCTATATGCATATTCTGACAGCGTGAGAGACGGGAGTCTGCGCTTGTTGGTCGTTCCAGGGATCAGGTGAGTATTAAAGGGTTATTAAACACTCCGGATATTTTTGCATATATATAAGGCTAGCAAGCAGGAGATATATGCAAAAAGTTGTTTTTTTAAAAAACAAAACGTTTTAACAGCGGTTTGAACTCACCCCTTCTTCGCCGCGCGCTCCTGTCTGAAAACCCGAAACTGCTCGGGCGGCCACAAAGCATCTTGGGGCGGGCGCATGCGCAGTTCGGATTTTCGGGCGGGAGACGAGGAGAGACGCAAGGTAAGTATACGGACGCATGCACCTGCATGCAGACACTGTGGGACAGGAAGTGCCAGCAATGACAGAGGAGTCAGCGCTGGATCGGAGACCCGCCGCACCGCTGGAGGGACAGATGAAAACATCAGGAAAGAAGATCGGATTAAGAGACATCAGTGAAGGTAAGTGCTAACATTAACATTGGGGGGAGGGATACAAAAATTTTACTTTAATGTCACTTTAACCACTTCCAGGCCGCAGTACGTCTATAGACGGTGGCCCGCAGAAGTGGTTAAAACAAGAACACGGCTGCTCTTGGTACCGCTTTTAACAGCAGGCGATTGCTGTATGACTTACAACCAATCGCCTGCTGAGGACTACAAATCTCAGCAGTACTTTATACAGAAATGCTATTGTTATATAAAGTATTGCTGGGATGTGTAGTCCTCTATAGCCTGTGCCATTCTGTATTGCTGTAAATATTAGGGCTGCACCATATATTGGCCGCCAAAACATATTGGCCGAAAATGGCACTTTTGGCATAATGCCGAAAGTGCCATTTTTCTGCTGATACAGCGGTGCATCCATGCTTTCTTTCC